CGCGCGCACGCACTCGCGCGCACACGCACGCGCGCATGAACACACACACGCACACACGCGGCGCGCACGCGCGCACGCACGCACGCACGCATGCGCACGCACGCATGCCTGGGCCAGCTGCCATGCAACAAGCTTATTTTTCTCGGTTTTGTGCAGCAAAAAACTCACATTTTCGCGTGTTTTTCCAGTGTTTCAAATCTGCGGCGCCCCAAGAGTGCTCCAGCATCACCTGCATCAACAGCATCGCCCGCATCACCGAGACAAGCCCGCAGACCCACAAGCCCAAGAGACTGGTGAAGGTCGACTGTTAAGCAGGTGTCCACATCTTCTGCGTTCGCGCCCACGCAGGGTCTGCCAGCAAGTTCGAAGCACCGTCCAGAAACGCCACTAAAAGCATGAATATTCCACGTGTTTTCATGATTTTCGCAATCCTTGAATCCACACAAAGCCGCCAAAAACACTTTTCTCCTACTTGTTCACCGAAAACCCTGTCCGAGGCTGCAGACCCAGAACCGGACCCAAAAGCACGCCCAAAAATGCACCCACCAGAAGCAGATGATGCAGGTGATGTCATCACTTTCCTTTTCATGCATCCTCGGCACGCACAGGGTCGGCGGCACAGTGCGGCAGCCCCATAGAGCTTCGCTCTAGAGCCTTGCTCCCAAGGACCAAGGGGGTAATCCGACAGCCGTTCGGCCAGTTGGCCTCTGAGGGAGTGGAAACTTGGCAAGGTGTACCTTTGTTGCACCTATGGATAACACGCAGAGCACTCAAGTGAAGCCACTCGTTGCGCAAAATCTTGACGCTTCATGGTAGTTATCCTTGCACTCGAAATGTCCTCCTGTGAATGCTGGAGGACGCTTGATGATAGTTATCCTTACAGTCGAAATCTCCTCTCCATGAATGCTGCAGGACGGTGATCATCATTCTTAGCATCATCGTCATCATCGTCACCTGTCTTCGCTATCATCGCTGTCAGAACACACAAGCCGTCAACTGCGCGGCCTGCCATTGAGGCTTCGCAACAGAGTTGCGGGGCGCCCCCCGCATCGCCGCAACCAAACGCCAGACTTCTGCAAGGACGGTTTCCTTCTGCGCGTGCTAGCAAATCATGATGTTTCATCATAGTCATCATCATGACGGTCCTCAAATCATCCCTTTCTTTCTTTGGTCTTCATGCTTATCATCATTATCATCACGGTAATCATAATTTCTTATTCGACAGCCTTGGTAGAACGATGATAGGCGTCATGACTCGAAATGTCCTCCCCATGAATGCTGGAGCTGCTGGAGGACGCTTCAGGATAGCTATCCTTGCATTCGAAATGTCCTGCCTGCGAATGCTGAAGGACGCTTGATGATAGTTACCCTTACAGTCGAAATCTCCTCTCCATGAATGCTGCAGGATGGTGATCATCATTCTTAGTGTCATCGTCATCATCGTCGCCTATCTTCGCTATCATCGTTGTCGGAACACACAAGCCGTCAACTGTGCGGCCTGCCATCTAAGGAGGCTTCGCAACAGCGTTGCGGAGCGCCCCCCGCGTCGCCGCAACCAAACGCCAGACTTCTGCAAGGACGGTTTCCTTCCGCTTCGCGCGCATGCTAGCAAATCATCATGGTTTATCATAGTAATCATCATGACGGCCCTCATCATCCCTTTCTTTCTTTGGTCTTCATTGCTTCCGCTTCGCGCGCGTGTTAGCAAATGATCATGGTTCATCATAGTCATCGTCACGACGGTCCTCAACATCCCTTTCTTTCTTTGGTCTTCAGGCTTATCATCATTAGCATCACGGTAATCATTTTTCCTTATGCGAAAGTCTTGGTAGAACGATGATAGTCGTCATGACTCGAAATGTCCTCCCACGACTGCTGGAGGACGCTTCATGATAGTTAGTTTTGCATTTGAAATGTCCTCCTGTGCATGCTGGAGGACGCTTGATGATAGTTCTCCTTACAGCCGAAATCTCCTCTCCATGCATGCTGCAGGACGGTGATCATCATTCTTAGCATCATCGTCATCATCGTCACCTATCTTCGCTATCATCGTTGGCGGAACACAAGCCGCCAACTGTGCGGCCTGCCATCTAAGGAAGCTTCGCAACAGAGTTGCGGGGCGCCCCCTGCATCGCCGCAACCAAACGCCAGACTTCTGCAAGGACGGTTTGCTTCCGCTTCGCGGGCGTGCTAGCAAATCATCATGGTTTATCATAGGCATCATCACGACGGTCCTCATCATCCCTTTCTTTCTTTGGTCTTCACTGTCTTCATGCTTATCATCAGTATCATCACAGTAAACAGCATTTCTTATTCGACAGTCTTGGTAGATCGATGATAGTCGTCATGACTCCCCATGAAAGCTGGAGGACGCTTCAGGATCCTTGCAATCGAAATGTCCTCCCTGTGAATTCTGGAGGACACTTGGTGATAGTTCTCCTTACAGCCGAAATCTCCTCTCCATGAATGCTGCAGGACGGTGAACATCATTCGTAGTATCATCGTCATCATCGTCACCTATCTTCGCTATCATCGTTGTCTAACGGGACACTTGAAATTTATTTAGAAAAGACGGAAAAGACTTGAGAAGACGAATCGTGACGACGATCATAAGGGTGGATGGTAAGCATCGCTACGCTTGTCTAGCGTCCCTAGCAGCGATGATGATAATCATCACTTCGCATCCCCGGCATCTCCAGCAGCGATGATGATAAGCATGACTACGCATCGCTTGCGTGCCAAGCCGGGTCTAGCGGGACAATTGAAATGTATATAGACAAGATATAGAAAAGTCTTGAAAACGAGTTGTGACGAGGATCCTGAGCATGGATGATAAGCAACGCTTTGCATCCTGAGCATCCCTAGCGATGATGATAACCACCCCCAGAATCTCCAGTAGCGATTATCCATCGCTTGCATGGCAAGCCGGACAAATGAAAAATATAGAGAAAAGACTTGAGATGACGACGATCATGAACGTGGATGATAAGCATCACTTTGCATCTCTAGCACCCCTAGCAGCGATGATGATAACCTTCCCCACGCATCGCTTGCATGTCAAGCCGGGTCTAACGGGACACTTTGCATCCCCAGCATCTCCAGCAGCGATGATGATCGCTTGCGTGCCAAGCCGGGTCTAGCATCTCCAGCAGCGATGATGATCGCTTGCGTGCCCAGCCGGGTCCAACCGGGTCACTTTAAATGTATATAGAAAAGATGTAGAAAAGGTGAACGTGGATGATAAGCATCGCTACGCATGTCTAGCATCCCTAGCAGCGATGATAACAACCATCACTACGCATCGCTTGCATGTCAAGCCGGGTCTAACGGGACACTTGAAAAGCATATAGAACAGACTTGAGAAGACGAATCATGACGACGATCATGAACGTGGATGATACGCATCACTACGCATCTCCAGCATCCCTAGCAGCGATGATGATAACCATCACTGCGCATCGCTTGCATATCAAGCCGGGTCTAACGGCGCACTTGAAATGTATATAGAGAAGACTTGAGAAGACGAATCATGACGACGGTCATGAACGTGGACGATAAGCATCACTACGCATCTCTAGCATCCCTACCAGCGATAATGATAACCATCGCTACGCATCGCTTGGATGTCAAGCCGGGTCTAGAAAGACTTGAGAAGACGAAGCATGACGACGATCATGAGGGTGGATGTTAAGCACGCTACGCATCTCTAGATGATAACCATCACTTCGCATCCCCGGCATGTCCAGCAGCGATGATGGTAAGCCTGACTACGCATCGCTTGCATGCAAAGCCGGGTCTAACGGGACACTTGAAATGTATATAGAAAACATATAGAAAAATGATCGTGGATGATAAGCATCACTACGCATGTCTACCATCCCTAGCAGCGACGATGATAACCATCACTACGCATCGCTTGCATGCCAAGCCGGGTCGAACGGGACACTTGAAAACCATATAGAAAAGACTTGAGAAGACGAACCACGACGACGATCATGAACGTGGATGATAAGCATCACTACGCATCTCTAGCATCGCTGGCAGCGATGATGATAACCATCACTACGCATCGCTTGCATGCCAAGCCGGGTCTAACGGGACATTTGAAATGTATATAGAAAAGACTTGACCTGAACGTGGAAGATAAGCATCACTACGCAGCTCTAGCACCCCTAGCAGCGATGGTGATAACCATCACTACGCATCGCTTGCATGTCAAGCCGGGTCTAGCGGCACACTTGAAATGTATATAGAGAAGACTTGAGAAGACGAATCATGACGACGATCATGAACGTGGATGATAAGCATCACTACGCATGTCTACCATCCCTAGCAGCGATGATGATAGCCTTCACTACGCATCACTTGCATGTCAAGCCGGGTCTAACGGGACACTTGACAGTATAAAGAAAAGACTTGAGAAGACGAATCATGACGACGATCATGAGGGTGGATGATAAGCATGACTACGCATCTGTAGCATCCCTAGCAGCGACAAGCCATCACCCCGCCATCTTCAGCAGCGAGAATGATAAGCATGACTACGCATTGCTTGCGTGCCAAGCCGGGTCTAACGGGACACTTGAAATGTTTTTGAAAAAATATAGAAAAGATTTGAGAAAACGAGTCACGACGAGGATCCTGAGCATGGATTATAAGCATCACTACGCATCCGGAGCATCCCTAGCAGCGATGATGATAATTAACCACCCCCAGCATTTCCAGCAGCGACAGCATCTCTGGCAGGGACAATGCCGATTCTTGCCATCGCCCTTCCCGTGCGCCTTCCCCTTTAGGCGAAGGGCCCCAAAATGGAGCAAAGCGCCCGAAATTGACCCTAGACAAGTTGCCACTCAACCTCACCTAACCAACATCATAAACTCACCCTCCGACCCTAAATTAAGCCTAAACCGACCACAAACCCTAGCTGAAGTTTTATCTGAAGCAACTCTTAACCAATCTGAATCCCGCAAGTTTGCTAGTGACGCTGAGAGGGTGCTATGGGTGCGGGCGAGGTTGCTTGTGAAGTTTAATGATGAGAGTGCTGCTGAGAGTGGTTAGTTTTTTTGCTTTAATTTGTTATTAGTCAGCATTTGTTTGATGACGCATTGTCCTAGAATCTCCCAGTACGGAGGAATCAAAGAGTTGCATGGAGGATGCATTGAAACATGATGAGGAATCGCATCTTGCACAATCTTGAAGGCGAACTAGTGTCCTAGTGCCAGATGCGATTGCATCGTTCAGTCAGAGTTTGTTTTGAGGCCGGTTGATTCCATCGTTTCTCCGGCGATTGCTACCCTTGTGATTTGTGTTGCTGAAGCACGACTGCCTCATGGTGAGATTGTTTTTTAGAGTTTACTCCTTCCTGTCGAGCAGGCCAAAGGCCAGGTTCCAGGGTCCTGCGCGAGCGCAATCTTCAGGACAGCGGCCAACAACTCGCAGCGCTGCAGAGTGCGACCACAAACTTGAAACAGCAGGTCCTGAGGCTTCAGAGCGCCTTCCTCGCACACTTCAGTTTGCAGAATAGCATGGAGACTGTCGTCGGCCAGCAAGGCTGGACGTTGTTGCGAGGTGTTGATGGGGAGCGAGTGAGCGAGTGCAAGAGCGCAAGTGACTGAGTGCAACACTGGCAAGCGTCTGAGGGCAAGTGAGAATTTGCAAGGAAGTGAGCCGGGTGGGCGAGCGGGCGAGCGAGTGCATGAACGAGTGCGTGAGCGGGCGGGTGAGTAAGTGCAGGGAGTAAGCGCAGGTGAGTGACTGCAACCCCTGTAGTTGAGTGAGCGCGCGCGAGTGGGTGTAAGGAGCGGCTGCACATAAGTGGGCGCAAGTGTAGACGCTCTCAATTGGGCACGCGTGCGCAACCACTGGCTCTCTGGCATGTGCCTTGACTTTCGGAGTCAGAAAGCACGTGCCGTAGCGACATTCTGAAATCCTCCCGTGCAGACGCCGAGCTGCTGCCCTCCCTGGCGCCAGATCTTCCGCTGCGGCCGGAGGCACGGCTGGAGCCCGTGGAGATGGAGCCGCCCAACTTCGAGGCACGGGTTTACGCTTTCCTGCTCTCGACGCGATGGGCGGAACTTGTCGAATCTTGTCGAAACTTGCCTTCAAGCCCTGTGTCGTCCGGTTGTGGCGCAGTTGAACTGGCCTCTAAGCGGCTTCCAAGCAGCCGGGTTTGAATTTCGAGAAGAAACTTACAGGCAAAGTTCTTCCCCGAAGACAGAGAGACCCTGGCTCAATCATGATGCTGTTGGCCATTTGTGCTGCAAGAATGCGGGCCTTTTTCCATGGGCCCATGCTCAAGCACGCCGAACCGCCCAGGTGCAACAGGGCGAAACCCTTCCAATTTGTGTGGGCCTTGTTTGATTGTAACTAGCGCACAATGTCCTAAAATTACAACATTTTTTACACGCAGATGGCGGAGCCGAAGCTCTCCTCCGAAAATCAATTCAAGCGCCCGAGCTGCCTGGGTTTAAGCCACCCCCCTAAACAAACCAAAAAGTAGTTGATGTCCATTATGACACATGCCGGGTTGCGTGCCCTGCCTGTCACAGCGGCGGTCCGCACCGTGTTCTCTCCAAGCACAACTGGTGGAACGCAGCTGGCCCTGACAGCTGTGACACGCCCGCCAGCTGTAATGACAGTGACAGCGTACATCAAGCTGCTAGAGTTGAAAGTCGGCAAACTCCACTGGGAGAACGATGGCCTGCAAGTACCACTCAGAACCAACGCAGCAAACATTCTATTCCAGTCGTTCAGCTTCCCTAAATATGAGAGATTGTCAGGCAACGGGGCGCTGTTCCTGGCCGAAAACACTGCAGCCAGCTGTGCGCCCCTGTTTCGTGCGCGAGCGATGGGCCATTTAGTTCCATATTCTCCGGTTTGATGGAAGAGTGTTGGGTGCGTGTTTGTTGCTAAACGCCTTTTTGTTTTGAGCAGGGTTTGGAGTTCTGACATTGTGCAGAGATCAATCGTAGATTTGCGCATTGGCTAAGTCTGAGCAGAATATGCCCATGCTGATGCACAGAAGCCACATGTGATGTTTTTCTTCACCCGGCGTGCCTCTTAATGAAGCTCATGGCGTTGGCCACAATTTCCAGACCGTCCGGCTGTATATTGGGTTTGCTGAGTAGACGACCCTTTACCTAGAGCATGCTGGCAGCTGGGGAGAAACTGCGCGATGCAGCGCTTTAGGTCTTCGAATGCTTGGGTAGCTTACCAGGAGGCTCCGAGTCCCAAGTTACCTTGGCTTTTTGAGCTAAGATGTCCTCGGCGACTTGCGCTCGTTGGCCCCCGTAAAGCCGTGAAAACTCGGCCTAGCGGCCGTGATAACTCGCGCGGGAAATTGAAAGGCCGTTACTACTCCGTGAAAAAGCCGTGAAAACTAGTGAAATTTCAAGCTCTGAGTTATCTTGTCCTCGCGACACAAAAAACCTCCTTAGCTCACACGGCCTAAGTAACTTGCGAATCGGAGCCTTCTGGTAAGTGGTCTTTGTGCTTTGTGCGTGTGAGGAGCGTGAAGCTCACCTTGCCCTTCTGCTCGTTTTACATTTTTTGCCGCGCCCACTCACAGCGACTGCTATTTGGCTGTCAGGCTGGTGAGACCACCAGGTCTGTGAAGGATGCTGAAGGGCGCCTGACGTGATACTGCTTCCGAATCTCATTTGCTTTCGATCGCCAAAGAGCGTTGCCTGAAGAAGTTTTGACTTGGCGCTGTGCGCCGGGCAGAGGGATCTTGTCAGTGTGGCGCATCTCTGAGATGGCTTGTTTGCCGTTTGCCGGGGTGAAGAAAGTAAGCATACTCGAAAATAGCAAGGCATAAAAGCCTCACAATCCATGTGTCTGATAACGAAGTAATGACCACCTCTGATTTGTAAACCCCCCCTCCCCTCCCCCCCAAAACGCACCAATACTAAACCAAGTCTTGGAGTACGAATTTCAAATTGCGTTGTAGCAGAGATTTTGTTCAATTGACTTTAGACTTTAGCACTGCAACTGCAAATTTGGAGTTGGAGAGTTTTTGCAGTTGATTTTTGGTATTACTCATTCAAATTTGGAATTGGCTTGGCTGCTTTGGCTGGTCTGGTTGGTCTGGTTGGTCTGGTTGCTTGGGAGAGGGAGGAAAGCTTGTGCTTTTCGGAGGGGGGCTGGCAAAAAAAACATACACCAAAACAGGACCCAGCAAAGTATTTGGGACTCAAATCCAAAAACTTTATTAAGACCCATTGATTTATCAGTCCGGGGCCTTCAAAAATATTTGGAGACCAATTACAAACCGTAGGTAAACATTATGATTTTTGGTAGCTTTACAATCTAGGAAGCCAACGGCAACTTCTTTAAGACAAGGCTTGCGCGTAACTGAAAGCAGGACCGCGCTTCCGACAAGCATTTCAATGATTATTGAGCAGACCCAAATAGAAGTTGAGACAACATGTACAGAAGCATGTCAAGTGTGTCAGTGCAATTTTCAGTGCAATTTTGCGAAACTGCCTAGGGTAAACACACGGTTCGGAGCTTCATTCACACAAGCCTGAAGCACACCCCCAGTGCAAAATTTGCTTGATCGCTATGATCTGTGCGACTAGTAGTAGTAGTAGTAGTAGTAGTAGTAGTAGCAGCAGCAGCAGCAGCAGTAGTAGTAGTAGTAGTAGTAGCGTCGTAGTAGTAGTAGTTGGAGTAGGAGTAGGAGTAGGAGCAAAAGTAGTATTGCCTAGCATCGATATTTCTTCATTGTTGCGCCAGCGGTCTGCGCTGAGGTTCAACATGAATTTAGTTGTTTTTTAGCCCTGTATAGCATCCCTGTTCGTGCTCAGATATTTGCAGTGTGTGTTTTGGAATGTTGCAATGGTGTTTGTTTCCTTGCCTTGGCAAGGGCACCTCAAGCCAAAAGCTCCCCAAAACCAACGGCCACCTCTGCAAACAATTTGTATAATTAGGGTCTACAGTGTCTTTTATTCTTAGGGTCTACAAGTAAGCGCATACACACGCACACCCAGGCGTAGCTGGTGGTCAAAGTCTAAGGGCGCCTCAAGCCAAAAGCTCCCCAAAACCAAAAGGCGCCTCCGCAAACAATTTTGCAATTAGGGCCCACACTAACAGACAAACACGCTGCCACACACATACGGACACACGCACGCACTCGCAGGCACAACAGGCCGGTCTCCGCTCGTCTTTTCTCGCGGCTGGCTGCCCATCGTTGTCTGGCTGTGGCGGCGGGGCCCAGCTCCAAGCACCTGGTCTTGTTCGGTTGATATTCCCAGAACACTATAAACAACTCATGTCTGCCTGTTTAGCAGCATGATGGGACTGCCTTCCTGCCTGCCTGGCTGGGTGCTTGCCTCCATGCCGACAAGCTTACGCAGAACAAGAGGCACCTTCAAAACCTGACCTCCAGGGGACCCCTAGTAATAAAAAATGTTTTGCTGGCCGGGAGTTTTTTTTTAATTTCCCCAACAGCTGAAAGCTTTGGGGTCTCAGCCCAGATAGGCTCCTGAGGTAAGGTTCCACGAGGGTTCCACGAGGGTTTGACGAGGATTCCACCAGCACCGGGGTTCCACAAGGTTCTGCAAGGGCTGCGGGGTGGTGCGAGCGCTAAAAAGTGAAAAAAAAGAGGGAAGGGATTAGTGAGTCGAGACCCTAAAAAAATGAAATTGTTTGCGGAGGTGCCGTTTGGTTTTGGGGAGCTTTTGGCTTGAGCCGCCCTTTGACTTTGACCGCCAGACTTTGTAATTAGTTGGCACAGCCTGCCGGTAGTAACGGAAACGTTCTCCCGGAGTTCTGGCTCCAAAGTCGCAACTTTGTAGCACAACCGAACATTTTTTATTGCTAGGGAGACGATTAGTCGCCTCACGGTTGTCTTTTCTTTTCACAAGATGGACCATATTTTGCGCGGGAAAAGTGAGCTCTCTCTCTCTCTCTCTGTCTCTCTCTCTGTCTCTCTCTGTCTCTCTCTCTCTCTCTCTCTCTGTCTCTCTCGGAACTTTTTGGAAACGGGGGCATTCTTTCCCGCACAAAATAGCGTCCATTCTGTTCGTACTTACCCTTGTGGCACTGTTTTTGCGTGCCTCACTCTGAACTTAGAGTTCGAAGTGCTTCCCCTTAAGCCTCGAGTGAGACACTCTGTCCGGCCTGCCAGATGCAATGAAGCAGCCGGCTCGCAGATAGATTTTGCATTTCCAGCGAAGGGTGCCAGCAAGCCCGGACAAGCGGCGTCGGCCGAATGGGCGTGGTTGGGGAGAACCGTTAACCTCGCAGCGCGACAAAGGCGTTGAAAGGATCAAAGCCGGTTGGTGTTTGCAAAGTGACGAGACGGGCCTCGTAATAGCCCAGCGCCAACATGAGTCACAGTGAGACTAGAAGATCACTGGGTTCTTCAAACACGGGCAAGTGCAGGAAACAAAGTTTGGTGGATGTGCAGACGGAGGACTGGAGCCAGATACAGGATTCTCCAGCGAGCTCAAGTTTCCCGATCCTGCAAAGCAGGGACGTAGAGGGATCACGCGCTGACTCAAGATATCCGATCCGCAGCTGAAAAAGTCAAGGGGCAGGGGATTCAGGAGGACAGACGTTGTCTGGGTGGCTTACGATTTACCACCACAAGGTTTGGTGGCCAACTTATTTTACTGGGTCCCTGGTTTCTTTTGTCTATGCGGGGTTGCCTACCAATATTTATCCAGCGCATAGCCACTGTCCATGTATTTTGACGCTAACAGGTGACCTGCAATTCAGACTAGATTGAAATAGCAGTTGCAAAGGGCACTTTGCGCCGTCTAAGTTCACATAAACGGCATTGGCGCAACATGTGAGCCTTGCTAATGGCAATCAAGCAGGGCTTCAACACAGCGATCAACGCATGGTCAGGTAAAGCACCTTCGAAAGCACAGATAGGGGAATCAAGCCTTTTATCACCATCCAACCCCCTTGTGCATGAAATGGCTGCGAGAAACCTCCTCATCGCACCCAGCATTCACCCAGCGCTCTCAGTGCGTCTCTCTCTCTCTCTCTCATTCTCTCTCTGTCGCTTGACAATCTTATTGTGGCCAAATGATGTCAGATGAAGAGGTTGACATATTGTTTACTGCGCAAACAGCTTGCAGTTTCCTTCAAAGGCCAACGGATTGCCGGTGTGCCTCCAGTCACATTCGCATGTTTGAGCCACAGCGCCAGGAGTTCGCCCACTTGCAGTGGCTCTCGTTCGGAAGAACCCCTGGGGGCGTGTAAGCTAGACGTTTGAACTCTCAACTTCGCAGGCGAAGCGCTCAACGCTCATTTTTCTGAACGCAGCGCATGCAAGTGGACGATCACGCTGCACGGTTGCCTTTCCAGGGTTAATGGCCAGTGTGTGGTGTCAGAACTGCGGGTTAACTTGGGAACCCTTAACTTTGAACCCGCAGATGCTTCCAACTGAGCAAGTCAAACAGGCGCTCTCGAACGCAAAGCCTGGGACGGAGAGCTGTGCAAGGGTGCCTTTGCATGGCTTCTGGGCTCTTCGTGGCTTGGCTTTCGGGAAGTGGACATGCCGTGGCACGGTCAGCACTACTTTTGCTGATTCTGGGTGTCCTTTCTTTCGGACCACTGGGCAAGCAGTTTGGCATGTCTTCTTCAAGGCAGCCCCTCTCATGTCCCAAAAGGATAAACGCCATGTTGAACTGTTAGAGCCAGAATATCATCCAGTGTATTATATTCTGCTTGCATAGGTATTTCGACATATTGGGTAGGCAAAATTAGGTAGGGGTGTCATTGTGATTGTTCTGTCGTTGTCTGGTCCGGATTTCATTGCAAGCTTGAAGCCGCCGATAGCAGTGCGAGCACTGGGATCAGGACAGGTTGAAGCTGTCTCGCGGCGACAATCAGTTTGTATCACGGGCCATGAGCTGTTATTGCAAGACGATCTTCAAAGCGTTTGACACATTCCCGACCCCTGGCGCAACCAAAAAAAGCCCAAATCGCCCTGCAACACGCTCCCTCCTCCCTGGACAGATTGGGATGAAAGTAAATGGGACTAACGAGTGGTGCAAGTGCAGTTCAGACAGGTTCAATGAATCCAGACTCGTGGAAGTATTGCTTGATTTGCTCTACAGACTTCCACTTGCCAAAAAATGGCTGTGTTCACTCAGCGGGGTCATGTTTCAATGGCCCTGGCTAATTCAATTCTTCTTGTCTTCGCCCCCGCCTCCCTTGCAGGTAGAACCTCCCAACCACAAAAAAGCACTTGCGCCTTGCAAATGGACAGGGCCTAGTTTTTGAGTAGCCTGGGTGTTTCATTTGTTTGGGGCGCCGCTTTCCGGGCAGAAGCTCAACCCTAGCCACGCACCATCGTCTGGTCTACTCAGCGCGCGCGCTACCCGTGCCAGCGTTTCACCTTGACAACTGGTTTCTTCCTGGCTGTGGCTCGATCCTTCCAGCGTTTTCCCATGCCGCGCAAAACGCTGGTGACTAAAAGGCACCGGTGGAAAGTTCCCCCAGCATGTAACGGCAAGCGAAGAAGGTCCTGCGTCAGTTGCGACCTGCGTGTCGAAACGTTTTACACATCCGAGCGGCTTCGAGCCCCACCAAGTCTCCGCCAGCGCGCCTGTTTTCAGTGAGGCTGACCGCCCCGCCGCAGTCTGGCTTACAAGCCAAGAAACTGCTCTTTCAAGGCTTTTG